CTCTGCAATATTATTCGGAATTCCGGTTATAGGTTATACACGACAATACTGTTTAAGCTTCAAGTGGCATTTGATCAATCGCCCAAAAAACCGTTAACCTTATATGTATAAACCAAAAGTATACACACACTTATCAGCTATATATACCTATATTACCCTCATTTATAACCGATATAGAACTCTTCTTCATACGAGTTCACGACTATATACCTCTGCATCTAAATATAACATACAATGCGACTTTTTATACTGTAACTAAAATGTACATATCTAGAACACGGGGTAAGAAGTCTTATAAGGTATACTTACTCTCGATTTTGTCAAAGATAAAAAAAAATTGAATTAATATAATAATATATTTGAATGTTATGATTTTTAAAGTAAAATTACACATTTTCGAGAGGTCTCATAGTTACACACAAATAGAACTTTAGGTAGATATTTTTCGTTGTTTTATTTTAGTTTCATTGTGCCAATAAAGTTATCTAAATATTGTAAGTACCTATAGAGAATTTTGTGTAATTATCTATTCGTAATTATTTGTATAGTATTTCAGTATTTGTCTGCAATACATTTCGTCAACAGAATTTTTTGTTACCTACTTAAATTATAACTATGTTTTATGTTATATATTTTATATATATATAACTTTTTTATATTATTGAAATCAGCCAACATTTTTGAAATAATATGTGTACCTACTTACGGGCTACGACCTACCATTTAATATTTATATAATAATATATAGTCAATAGCGATATAGCCACGACTCACGAGAGTCTCTATCTAGTCATGATTTATTTTGTTACCAAATCGTTTAATATATTATATTATATTTATTATCATTATTATTTATTATATATAGTTATTAGTTATTACTTAGACATTTGGTATGTATCTATTTGTTCAAAATATACTTTATATTTTCGTGTATATACTGCTATTAGTTATTACTGCATGTGCCGAATGTCTTAAAATATAAATAAGAATAGATATTAATCAAACTATTAAAATATTGAATTTTGTAAAATCATTCTTATAGTTTTATTAGCTTATTTACAAATATAATTGTTTGACTAAATGTTTTGCATACTTGTAACTTGTAAGTTGATAACTTCTATACATTTTAAACGATCAATACTTGTAATTTAATAAACTAAAAGAGTCTTTTGATCATATTCTGCAATGTCCAATGAATATTGCGAACACCTACCTATAATTTTATATTATAGAAAATGTACCTACCATGTATTATTATAACCATTTCAAATTATATTTGAACACGTTAAAAAGTTAATCTTTAGTTAAAACTTAAAAGTAATCTATGCCCTTAGCTCATTTCTATCTCATATTTATATTCATATTGTCATCAATACCTACTCAATTTGTAATTTATAATACAATTAATAATTATATAAGTCACTATAATATAGTCATTATTGTAACTATTTCTACAAATATAAACATGTATGAATATAATATATTATATTATATATTTATGTTCCAATAACATATTATGTTTTAATTGTACCTATTATTATTGTATATATACCTACTGCCGTAATATAAAAATATTATTATTTATTGTTGTTTAGTGCAGCGATTCCCAAAGTGTGTTGCGCGGAACCTAAGGGGACAATCTCAAGGGTTCCTCCAGACGTGTGAAAATTATTTTAAATTATAGGTAGGTACTTGGGAAAAAAAGTTCACCTAAATAATAGTTACTAACATAATATTGCTATAAAATATTCGTTTTATAGACATCGGAGTTCCATGTTTCACGAAACTTTTTCCTAAGGGTGCCGTAGTCGTTTAGGAACCACTGGTTTATTGTTTAATATTATTCCATGAGGGCGCCAATGATGCTTGACATGGAAAATAAATACAAAATAGTAGAGCTGTAGAAGTACAAGCACAACAATGAAACATAAAAATATTGTGTCCCTAGCGCCTTTGCCCCTATAGGCTATCGCCTATCACCTCTCTTTTATTAAACTCTAAAACATATTAAGACCCGGGCTTAAAGTGGTAAAAAAAATCAAGGGGGGGAGCTTATGTCTTCAATTTTTCCTAGAGTTTTAAGTGTTCCATGTATCATTTTATTTAATTATTTATTAGAATAATATATTAATGATATGTATAATGTGTAAAAACAGCGATTGTCCCAAGTGAGGTCCCACTTTTAACCCTGAATAATGTTAATCCTAATTTGTTTAAGGGGACAAGAGCTTATAAACTTGAGGAAATGGCCCCTCCCGTCACCCCCTGCGGGCGTCTATTAAAGGGGACGATTTTTAACTGCAGTCAGAGGTATGGTAACTGAGTCCCCCTACGCCAATCCCACTTTAACTTCTGATTAAGACCAACCAACAGGCAAAAAACATTTCATAACTTATTCATTATTATATACTTAGGCAGTACCTTCTTTACAAGTTTCAACCAAAATAGAGTGCTTATAAGTAGTAGACTTTTACAGGCAATTGAGGTGATACTGGAATTTTTTCTAAATATTTCAATAATAAATTATACTTTTAAATATTTGAACTAAATTAGTATTTAGTTATATACCTACCTAATGGCTAACATATAATATATTAATATAATTTTACAAAAGCTACCTAAATACCTAGGTCCAGTGGCGTCATTTGGGGGAGGGCAACTGCCAACTGAGGCATTTGCCCCAGTCTAGTATTTACATCAACCTTAAGTAGGTACATTTGCCACAAGCCCCCCACCCCCCGTTTACCACTATGGTACTATGCTATGAGAATCTGAGTGAAAAAAATGTTGAGTCGGAAAAGTAGTGAAAAATTGCCCTAGTCTAATAAAAACTGAAATAACGCCACTGCCTAGGTCCTAGGGTATAGATACCTATGTGGTTATGCAGTATATTATACCTTATACATTATACATATTTATACTATATTACTATGTATACATTATATATAATAATATAATATACATAACATAATATTATATATTCGTATAATAATTATTAGGTACATGTATTTTACATGTATATATAAATATATATAGTATATAGTAACTAATAACCAACTGCGACACTACAGGTCACACAAATTTTAAATCAGCCATTTAAATCTTAAAAAGGTGCTCTGCTGTACAGTAGGTTACAAATGGAGTGACTGTATAATGGATGGTATTAAATTTGAATTCAATGATATAATATCATTGTAGAAAAAAACGATTCTGAGCGGAGACGGTATGTCAGTCTATAGGTATAAGACATATTATATACTTATCTATGGTATTAAAAAAAAAATTGACTTATAATAGGTACCTATAATAAATTCCAAATTAATCATATCACAATATCCATTAGGTACTTATAACGCGTTATACATCAACAACAAACGCTGATACTATCATAGATATACAATAGTTTACCTACTTTAGAAGTTTCAAGTACCCACGAATAATATTATACAATCATAACAAAATAACCAAAATAGTTATTCTAGGTTTTTTTATGTAATTTCGTTCAAATTTGAACTTAAAATGACTATAAAAATAAACTGTGTCTGTGTATTTTTTAGATTTTTTGGTAACAGAATTAACTACTTACGTTTAATCTTGTTTTAAATTTTCAATCATTAGATATAAAAGTTGAACATTTTATATATTTTAACTCCAAAATAATTGTTCAATTTTAAATTTGATAAATTTTGTCAAAATTCGATCTTTAAATGCTTATAAAAAAAAAATTGTGCCTATGTATTTTTAATATTTTTCAACTGATATTGTAACAATATATCAGGAGCCTTGTATTAAATTTTTATACTTTTTGGCCCAACAGATAAAAGTTTATTGATATTTATAGAAAAAAAAATTATGAAATTGAAGACTGAAAACGTCAGTAAACAGCTCAAAAAGAGTCAAAATATTTTCAAAATTGTATGGTGTATAGAAAATGCTAATTTAACATTCAGTGAAATTTCATGTATATAGGGTCATTTTTAAGAGTTGCACCAAAAACCAAAATCGATTTTTTCGAAAACAGATTTTGTGTAAAAATTCCAGTTGTACCTTAATTTTTCTTTTGCGCTTTTGAAAACTACTTTAAAAATTATACTTTTTACCCCCCTAAGTATAAACTAGATTCACTTTCCTATCAGAAAAGATACTGTTGAAGAAAATCCAAGCACTTTTACTGTCCTAAAAAGTGATGACAGACACAAAAATAAAAAAACACACATAATTGTAAAATCAATACATTCATCGTTCCACTCAGAATCTAAAATTCAATTTTATTTTTAGATAACAAAATAATAATTTCTCATAGTTTTATTGTTTTTTTTTTAGCTCTATAACTAGAAGGGCAGAATATTATAGTTGCTTTTTAAGCTTTTTTGTATTTTTTTTTTTTTTTAATTGGTACACAAAACGGTTATTATCTATGGCGTTTTCAGTCTGTTGTCGTTTTTGATCAATTAGCCCCTCACGAACAACTGGACATGATTACGACTTCTGCGGTATCAACGAGGGGGTCCGTCTATAGATATAGAACAATGTTATAATATCAACGACGACAGTATCAACTTACTATCTCGAGTATATTTTCGCATTGAATTTACATAATATATACTTATATTTATTACGTTAAATGCCGTAAAAGGTTATTTTCGGGGTCCTGGGGGTCGAAGATCAACGATCCGCCGCCGAGTGTATTTGGCAGCGATCCGAATAACGGCTGTGTGTTTTGTCTGACAAACGGAGACACGATTATTCAACATTCCCCTTAGTACGGAATTTAATACGCGATTCGCATTTCAGTCTTGGGATTCCGACGTCGGACATTCATAAAATAATAACCGATACACTGATTATAGCTATTTTTACCATTCACCACAACTCGATCGGCACCACCTCGAGATGTCACGTGCTCCTTCACCTTAAGCCCCTCATTGTTTGCACCCTGTACGATAAGTGTTTTGTTTTTGATTTCCTCGAGATCCGTGCTCTTCAAACTGGCTGAGGATATGGCCGATCCCATAATCGGGCAGAAGTCGACGCGAAGGAAACAGTGGACCTTACTGAGTAATGACACATCATTATTTGATATTATATGAAATATGTTTGGTATTTTATCTTTATTTTTCACCCTGTATAGATCGAACCCAGAGTCGATACAACCGTTTCGGAAGTTTCTTGGCAGAAGACGGATGGCCCGATTCACAGGTCGATTTGGCCAAACAGTTGTTGAACGAGAACTGCGGTAAGACTTATTTAGATACTCTCATATCAACCTATGAATTATGAATGATTTCTATTATTTATTTATTTATTATAAGACATTTAAGAATAAAGCATTTTTTTTTCTACTACAATTAGGTAGGCTCTATTAAAACTTCTATTAAAATATTTATAATTTTTAAATTACCTTTTTTTACTATACAGAAGATGAAAAAGACCAAGAAGAAAATGCTAGTTTAGGTGTTTATTGGCTGATCAAGGCTTCGTCGCAAGGACATAAAGAGGCAACTGAACTTTTAAGAGAATGTCTTGACACAGGAAAAGGTTTGTTCATAATTTAATTAAGCCTATTATTTATTAGTAATTTATTAATCATACCCACTAATGTTATAAACAGGTAGGTATCTCAGCTTCAAAATTATTTTTTAAAAACTTATGATGCATTAATTTGTTTACTGAATACTTATTTAGGTATCACTGAACATAATTGGTTGGATGTCAAAGTTTGTCTGGAAACTTCTCAAGAGGATAAAATCATTCAAAAAACGGCACACGAAATATTTGATAGGTACTGTTCTGTTATGATTAAAAATATTAACATTTGTGTATAATATAATATTTCAGAATAAAAATTAACTTAATATTCGATTACGAGGATGACATACCCATATTTATGGTCTAAGTCTTACAATAATTTGTAAATTTGCGTTTAATGAACCAATTTTGTGTTGTAAGCTTTAATATTAGAGATACCAATCTATTATACAAGATAAGAATATTATTGTGTTTATTTGGTGTGTTGATTTTTCTATAATAATTGAAGTATTATAGAAATGTAGATAATATTTTTACCTTAAAGTTTGATAATATATCAATTCACTATTATATCTATTTAATAACACAAAATAGTTCTGCTTAACGCAAATTTATCATCTTACATGCTTGTAAGATTGGTACAACATATGCGGTTGTAATAAAGAGGGTTTCTGTATAATGAACAACTTTTAACTAATCAAAAATTAAAAAACGTGTTATTCAATTAATTATATTAAATCACTATAAATTATTAAGTACTTAATAATTATTAATACGTAACTGACTTAGATATATAGACATATTAATATGATAGATAAATACTGAGTTTTAAGTTGATTCTAAATTTAAATAATTCAACTAAGCAAAATACCATAATACATTTGCAAATTTCATAAATGTTTTCAGTTTTTACTACATTTTGATTGTGCTCTTTATTCAGTCATATATTAGCTATAGTGTAATTTTATTCTTCATGTTATGTACTTAATACATTTGTTATTGCAGGATGTCAGCTGGTGAAGACTTTATAACTAGTGACCAATTGAAAGACGAATTAAATCAAGCTTGTAGCACCAAATCTAATAGCTCAGACATAATTAAAGTAGATGAAAACTCTAAAGAATACAAATGCTTAAAATCATCTCGGCAAGGTATTAAAAAATATTATAGCAATAAAAATATAACTATACCTTTGAAATTAGTGAATGCTACAATAACTATTGTTTTTGTGCTCAATATAGAACCTTTGAAAAATAATAACCCGTTTTCCCCAGAATATAGATACATATTATATTATCACATTTATTGTTTAATGTATCTTCTAATTGTATACATGCCTAAGTTTGTCATGATTAAATAAGTGCATGTATATTTTATAAATTATAATATAATATATAATATGTGTTTGTTTTAGACTGGAAATCCAGAATAAATGAATCTGGTGAAAAACTTACTGAAGATGTATTAGTGAATGCTGCCAAAGATTTTTCACGTGGACAAATGCCACTTGTGCAAAAAATGCTCACCATTGAAGAAAATAAAAATGCCATATCTACTACTTGTGACTTATTTCTCCAGCCAGTGTACATTATTCACAATTATAATCTTTGCCTTCAAGAGAGATTGAATAAAAGATTTTCCAAGCTGCCATTAAATCCATTCTCATATTTTCATGCTCCAACATTGATAACTACACTTCTCTGTTTTATATTGGGCTTGGATGGTATTCGTTTGTTGATTCCTTATATTCTATTTTATGGATCATTGCTTGCAATGGTGGTTGCTACTGTATGTGCTCTATGTGCAAAAAGAGATTATGGACGATTCCGCCGATGGTCAAATTTATTCATCACATACAGTGGTGGTTGTCTCAGTGCTCAAGAAGCAGAATACCAACATTTGATGAACACTCTTAAGCCATATGTTTTCTTTTTTGCGTCATTAGGCGCTCACTTATTTATGAAGACTGTAATTGATTCAGACACCATGTTTCAATCTGAATTAACTATTGTTTCAATTTGCTTGACGTTTTATACACTATATTCGTTTTCGGTAACTATACTACGCTTACTATTTATTTATTTTAAATTGGTATATTACATTTAAGAATGTATCTTTTATGTAATAAATATGTGTATGTATTGTAATAGTTATCTGGCCCCAAACTGGGCAAGACCAAAAGCATAGATCTCATTGCGCTGTTATCGTTTTGCGTCAATGTGCTAGCAAAATATCCATATGAAACTGATACAGTAGTTAGCAAAGGTTGGAGATTTCTTGATTTGCATGTACCAACGTTTGCATCACATGTCATCGGTAAGTTAACTCTTGAATATGTTTTTATTATCTATATTATATTAACTACATACAATTATTATTCTCTAGGAAACGGTGTTGAATTTTGTCTCAACTTTAGAGCGTTATTTTATTTAATATTACCAGCTATTATGGTTAAAATGGCTGCACGTAATAATTGGAGAGGAATCTACACAGACTTAATACCACATTGCATGACACTTTCATGGTGGCAAATGGCTCTAGTTGCTTCTCAAGGTATATTATAATATTTAGTTGAAAACTAAACTAGTGACTCAACTAATAATAATGTTGATAATTGTTTTTCAGAGTCGACGTGGTATGGGCTAGTTCGTAGTATATTAGCCTTAGTCTGTGTGTTTATACTGTTTCCGATTACTGGTATTTTCTTGCCATTTGTCACTATTGGAAACGACTTTGAGACAATATATCAGATTATTCAACTGCCCGTTGTTCTAATATTTATGTGGATCTTACATATAGTTTTGCAATATTTCAAACGTAAAGGTTTTCGCACCGATTCATTTTATACGTATTTGCAGGTACTTGAATTAATATCCAAACTATTAGCTTAGTAAATAACTGTAATTTGTTATAGGTTCTTATAGTTTTAATCGGTACTACAATATGTGTTTTTAACAACTATGAGCGTTTACAACAATGGATTGAGCCGCCTGCTGACAATCACTTAACATATAATGATTTCTCAGAATTTTGTAACAAAGATATTGGTAAAAATTCTCAAGAGACAACTGTGATGGCTGACATTGACTGTTCACAATTAATTGGTCAAAATGTGCAATGGGACGGTTATATAAAATCCAGCAAGGTTGTTTCAGTATATAATCCCATTTTAGCTGTCTTAAGCTTCTTTCCAAAAGTAAGTTTTATATGGAAAAAATGCTATCATTTAATTAATTTTAAATATTTTATTTTAGATTATATCGAATCCATTGACTTGTCTGCTGGGTAAACGATTATCAACATGTTCAGACAGTTATGGTTGTAACGTGAGCTCAAAGCTATCTGATATTTGCCACTTATCCGAATGGAATCGTTATACATATGAAATAGAAATAAAAATGAGTAATGAAGGTGTTTGGGGCAACAGTGGCGATATAACAACACTGCTAACCAATAGTCAAGACATCATAATGGACAATGCAACAAAAAGTTTAAGGGAAAATGACCATGTATGGTTTTCAGGTCAGTTGTCTGGTAACAAATTTGGTATATTAACAGCCAAAAATCCATTCGTACAAGCATCTTCGGTTGGATGTTTGACATGTTCCAAGGTTCAAGTCATCAACAACAATGTTAGACATAAATCATTTGATGACGAATTGGTCAAATGTGCTAAAAGACTGTTTCAATTCATTTTATATCCAATTGTATTATTTAAATGATCTTCACAAAAAAAAAAAATAATCCTACTAAAATTAGTTATCATTAAAAGTTTAATATTTATTTTTATTACTTAAAAATGCTTTTATAAAGTATCTTTTGCACTGTGTATTATTATATTTATAACACTTAATACTGTGAAGTGCAATAATTTAAATTCATTTTTACTAATATTTAAGAACCTAACCAAAAATTTGTTTTGTTTGTAAGAAAAAAAAATATATTTAGTAATAAATATTAAATGTTTAACTAAACACCTAATTTGTTTTATTTATATTTAAAAAAAAAAAAATTTAAGTTATTAGAATCAAATTATTGTCATGCCCAGTAATTAAGAATATTGCAAGTAAATATGGATCTTAAATCATTCCATCATATCTATTTTTTACATTTATAAAAAAAAAATAATATTTTCTGTTTATAGTAACATTATTTGATTAGAACACTATGACAAAATTGCAAATATTGAATAATTATATACCTATGATAAATGTAAATGTAGTTATATCCACATAAGATAGGTACATAACCTGTAAATATTGATAAATATATTACAGTTATATAGGTACAAATTATACAAAAGACAAAAACAAACAATTTATGTGAACCCGATAGAAACTTTGATCAATTTGATAATTCAACTAATAGAATTTAATCAGATTATTAGATTAATCAAGTGAGCATTGAATAATTCATAAATTGATTAAAAATTAGAAAGGATTATACAAATTGGAAATAAATTTGTCTGTAAAAAGAATACAAATTGCATTTAAAAACGTTTAAAAAAATTTAATAATTTAACATATCGTAGACATTTTATTATGATATAAGTCGTTAAGTAGATATCATACTCCAAAACGTTGAATGGAATATTAAATTTAAACAATAGTAAGACATCTAAGAATATTTTTAATTTACAAAAGTTTTAATCAAACATAAGTTAACTTTTAAGAAGCGTATAAAACAAAAAAAAATAATAACTTCAAAGACAAAATAAATACATCACAACTTAAGCTAAAGGTTTAAGATTCCGGAAATTGTTTACATCCGTTGTTTTCTGTTGATAACAGAGTAGGTTATGCACCAAGCAACAACTGAATTTCTTCCATGGTCTTCCCCTTAGTTTCAGGAACAATAAATACCACAAAAAATGTGCCCAACACACTGACCAGCGTGTAGAGCCAGAATGTGTTGTATAAATAAATAGTATCTACCAATAACGTGAAAAATTTGGTAGCCAAGAATACAAAGAACCAGTTTGCCATACAGACTATTGAGCTAGCAATACCTAAAATAAACAAAAATAATGGTAATAACTTAGTATAGTACATAGTTTTTGGCGAATATTAAGTTCGGAGCAAAGCTGTTTTACATTTTATTGGCATACTACTCAAGATGCTTACACCAAATGACAAAACTATTGATAGCAAAACCCGATGTATCCTGAGAGGACGTATTATTACCTTTAATTTGAGGTGGAAATATTTCACCCATCAACATCCATGGGATCGGACCAAAACCCATGGAGAATAATATTATGAATACACACAACGACACTAATGGGATAAATCCAATTGATGAGACATCATAATTGGAATCCTTTGCGTAGAAAAATCCACCAATGAGAAATGTACAAATGCCCATTGCAATAACAGAATACAAAAGCAAAATCTTTCGTCCTAATTTATCAACAACAAGTGTTGACACATACGTGGACAAAACAGCCATAATACCTACAATAACTGTGGATAAATTTGAGCTTATTGAGCTACTAGATGCCTGAAATAAATTTAAATGTTCAGAAATATTAATTTATAACAATTAGAATATTATTTACATTGAAGATAGTTGTGGTGTAGAAAATAACGGTGTTACATCCCGTAAACTGCATGAAAACCATAACCCCAAGGCCTAAGAATAGTCCGCGCTTGGCTGGTGTAGTTTGGAATGCTTTCATGATTGGAACTTTTTCTCTTTTAGTCTGTAAGAAAAAAAATGTTATTTACTCATTACTTCATACAGAATAATTATTATGTTATGTAAATTCATGTTTGTTGCTTGTACTTTAGCCAAAGAATCTTGCATTGTAATTAATTCTTGGTCCACCTGACCAAAAGGTCTACGGAAATATTTCAATGACCATCGAGCTTTTATAATATTTCCTTTTGTTAGGTAGAAAATTGGACTTTCTGGTACGAAAAACATCAAACAAAAATAGACCACTGGAACTATTGCACAAGCAATAGACAGACCAAATACATCTAACTGTAAAAGAGCATAAAAGTTTAAATAAAACTGAGTTTTATACTTTTATATAGTTAAGACTTACATATGATCCAATGACATAAGTGAACAAGATACCTGAAAATACTTGTAACTGAAAATAAGTTCCCAAAGTACCACGTATTTCGTTATCAGCTATTTCAGCGGTGTATTGTGGTACAATCACAGAGTATGAACCACTTGCAAATCCATTTAGAATTCTGCCAATACAGATTATTGTCACCTTAAAGAATAATTTTTATATCATACATATGAGATTATATTATATTAATAAATATAATTAATATTTACAGAATCAGCCCAGATTATCATCGCCCATCCTAAGAGTGCGGGAATAGTTAACATTATCATCAGACGTTTACGTCCCAATATGTTGACTAGACCACCCATAAACGGACATCCGAGTATTGCACCAAGTGGCATGCACGACGCAATCCATGAAATGTCGTCATCAGTAATGTGGAATCCGTATTGGCCATTTTTCATCATTGGGCCAGCTGGAGACGTCCATCCAAGTGTTGTGCCCATGATGAACCCACCAATAGTTACTATGATCACATGTGAAAATTAATACATTTGGAAAAAAATAAATAAATCTGTGTATATGTAGGACACTCGAAAACTTACCGATGAACGTGGCTAAATATTGTGTTCTGTACTGTTTATTTTCACAGCCAAACGATATGTTCCGAGGTAAATTTATAGTTTGATATAATGTTTTGTCGACAAGAGGACTCTGCTCACTATAGACTTCCTAAAATAATCGAATCCATTTGTTAATAGACAACCGTCTTTTGAATGACCTAATGGGTGTACGTGTGTAATTTTAAATGCATAAAGTACCTTGATCGATGGAATTCTATCTCGGACAGGGACATTGTCACTCTTGTGGGTTCCATCTGGTCCTTCAGTTTCGTCGAACGACGTTAAAGTGCTCATAGTTTGCCGGGAAAGGACGATTTCCGGAAATCGTTCCGACTAATCAATCGTCGAATTCACCCTAATCCCAAAATTATCGTCACTGATTTATATTTTCCTTTAGTACTTACAGAACCACGTACAAGGCAAGTGAATTCGAACGGAAAATTGTTGGAAACTCGGAATGCGAGCTAGAACTTTGAACACATTTAAATAATCATAATTAGAAATTTTCGATGATAAAAATATGTTATCTAATCATTAATCAACATTCAACAGGACTTCGGAGTTCGGACGCGTTCCGATTTGAATATTTGATACAATATTTTCGTTGGGTGTCCTGACTGGCTCTCGTCGCCGTAGTTGTGTTTATTTATATTACGAATTACGATAATGTAAATATTATGTAATATTATTGAAACTTGTACGTCTTCGGAAGACAGTCTTGGAATTTGAATTCAAAAGAAACGGTTTGTTCGTTATGGTTTATCACAATAAAATAATAAATACCGGCGATTAACTAAAATATAAGACTTTTAGGGTCATAGTGAGCAATAATGAAACTCGCTTTTTATTATGCGAATTGCGAGCTATATAATATTACAAGTTATAACTTGTAAGGTAGGCAATTCACCTGTATAGTAGGACAAGTAGATACAAAAGTGCACTGTATATTATAGTATATTATATTATAAATTTTATTATTTTGTATAAATAGAAGACGGCATTTCGTTCCCCCTGAAAAATGGCACCACTTATCATATGAATGTAATATGATTTTAACTTTATGTTAAATTCGTTACATATTAATACCAGGTGTAGTGATGTTCAAAACTTAAAAAGAATTAAGATTTAAGTTTGACTTTAATTTTTATTTCATTTTTAACACATTAATCATAACAATGCAAATTAATTTGTACTTAAGACCGAGTTTATTTTCGTAAAGATTACGCCAAATACGTAAACTTATAGATCACGTTACAATTTTGTTTTCTTTTAACAAATAATTAATGTTATTACTTATTAATTATTATGGCTTTAAATATATAAAAGCTATAGGTATATCGTACCATAGAACATCGTACTATCGTGCCCTTGACTTTTTTTAAAATCTATATTGATGACTGATGTTTTTAATTTTTGCAGAAGTGTAGTACCTACATTGTTTAAATTGCTTCCAACCATTTTAATATAATATTGAAATAAACGGTTTCCTGTTAATTAACGCCCCTTCGATTTATCCCATCTTATTCTCCCTTTAAGAATTTTAACACAGTAATTTTGATGGTTCTTTGTCTATGGTTTTGACCAAATATCAATTAATACAGGTCTAAAATTATATTATTCAATCACAATAATTAATAACTATTTTATTTGTTGTAACCAATATAAACCCTATGTTAAATATTAAACAAAAATATATTATTTATTTGTGAGCTAAACATCAAATTAAAAAAAAAATTCGAAATAATATCAGTACTGAGGAGTTACTGATGGGCACGGGCCACGGACTAAGATATATCTTAGTCCGAGCTGCTGGGTGACTACGTCTCCACGTCTTGTACAAATATATATATAATATTTTTCATATGCTTATTGTAAAATACCATTACAGATTGTATTATATATTCCAATGAATATTGAAAAAAAAATCATCGGTTATATATATACAGGGTGTATCTTATGTCATTGTACGCGGGGTTTTTTGACGATTACGGAACGATGATATGGAATTTCGTTAAAACGAAAAAAGACGTGTTTCTTTATTTTTAACAAGCAATTTTTTTATAACAATTTCAAAATTTTTAAACACGCAGGTGTACCAATAGCAAAATCAACTTTTTTTTTTTCAAATGGTAACCACTATATTTTTTAATGGATTCTGGAAAGCTTTTTTTTTCTGAACATTTTGGTAGTCGAATCGTCAATTTTGGTTCCCTAGTTTATTAACTATGGTCCTCCAAAGATTAGTAAAATATGCATTAATACTTTTAATTAAAATATTGGGTACAGGTTTAATTTACAAGCGCTAAACAATTTTTTCTTATAACTACCATTTGATACACTACAATAGTTGAATCGGTAATCTAATGACACCCTAAAAAAAAAAAATAACAAACATAATTGTTTGTAAACATACTTCATTATTTTTATTTTAACATACGATCATATAAATCAATATTATTATTTTAATTTATTATTATAATCGTAATTAATTACTTTACATTTTTTTCATCACAGTTACTTTTCTTACAATATCATAAATTTGAATTCTTAATTAGGTAGGTGGCTAAGGTAATAATGGTAAATTGGTAAATGGTATTCGATTGTTGACATTAATATGTGCAACGAAAAAAGTGCAATGTTTTGTGGTGCTCTTTTCGTAGTGGTATAAAGTATAAACTTGATATTTTAACCGTAGATTCCCTATAATGGTATCGCATCCAAAGTATGAACTTAGGAGTTGTAATTCATCCCTTTCCATCCTTTTTAGTTTCGGATATTAAAATAATAATATTGATTTTTATGATCGTATGTTAAAATAAAAATAATGAAGTATGTTTACAAACAATTATGTTTGTTATTTTTTTTTTTTTTTTTTTTTGAGGGTGTCATTAGATTACCGATTCAACTATTGTAGTGTATCAAATGGTAGTTATAAGAAAAAATTATTTAGCGCTTGTAAATTAAACCTATACCCATTATTTTAATTAAAAGTATTAATGCATATTTTACTAATCTTTGGAGGACCATAGTTAATAAACTAGGGAACCAAAATTGACGATTCGACTACCAAAATGTTCAGAAAAAAAAAGCTTTACCAGAATCCATTAAAAAATATAGTGGTTACCATTTGAAAAAAAAAGTTGATTTTGCTATTGGTATACCTGCGTGTTTAAAAATTTTGAAATTGTTATAAAAAAATTGCTTGTTAAAAATAAAGAAACATGTCTTTTTTCGTTTTAACGAAATTCCATATTATCGTTCCGTAATCGTCAAAAAACCCCGCGTACAATGACATAAGATACACCCTGTATATATTCGGACATATATTTCTATATGTCATTACATAATATTATACATTGTATATTATTTTTACATCATCGGTCATCCACTCATCCCAGAAAACTTCTAATAAGTCGTGTTGCGTATTAATGGACCACCACCATTCTTCTTTTAATCGTCTGTCTAACAAATCTGTTTCTCCACGGGTTTTAATTCCGGATTTAGTTTTTACATGTCTCCATATACACTCGATCGTTTGTGTTCGTGCGCCTGTTGTAACTTGTAGGATCAACAAAAAACTAGAAACGATTGAAGGTTTCATGATGATAGCCTATATATCTTAAGGTAGGTACTGTATGTTCGCCATTGATCTGAATAATTGATCCTAGTTCTATTTCATTTTGTATTATTGGTAATAAAGTTGCCTTATCTCTTTTTTCCACTTTAAATTTTTTTGAGTTGAATAATCATCATCAATATCGTCAGCATCACATACAAATTAAAACTCGCAACGAATAGGACAAATACCCGAACACAACACAAACATAACATAGCATAGACTAAAATAATACATCTAAAAGTAAGTTATCATGGGACTTGGTGGATCAGTAAAGTTATCATAATGGCTATTATAAGCTATAATTTTGTACAACTGATATATGTTATTTATCGTAATGGCTCAAATATGTACTTTCCCGCAATAAAATGAAATAAAATAAAAACAACTACGGTAGGTAGCATACTACATGCATACAATTTTTTGGTAGATACCATTTTATGGTAGGTAGCATATTAGACAAGTAGGTACCCTTTTTTCAAGTCAGTTGGTAGGTAGCTCATATATTTTTACCCTTTTAGTTGTTTACGAGTCTCGGCCCCATATAGTCGGGGCATATTGAAGGGCAAAGAAAAGGTATAATAGAGAAGAATATAACAGTATATAGGCACAGAACAATAGTATAGGTACTGTTCTCAACTATTATAGAATTATGGCACCAAATGATTCGACTCAGAAAATACAATTTAATATAAAAAAATTGAATTTATAATGATTGTTTTAATACAACTAATAACATTGAATTTGGATTGTGTTTATATAGAGACCCTATGAAGATCACTACTAGATCATTCTTGTAGAATAAGGTAGAATCACAGATTATATGAATATTATATATATTTTTTTAATTGAACTATTAAGCCAGGTGACTATGGTCATTAGCTGTTGTAAGGGTTATGAACTGTGGTAAGGTTGGTACTATGTTATGGTGTCAGTGGCGTATTTTGAAATTTTTTGTGGGGGGGGTCTAAATATTAGGTACCTACAAGTTTATAATATAAAAAAAACACATACGAGTTACGATGTAATAATTATATTATATTATATTTTTTTCTGGGGGGGGGTCCAGACCCGGGGACCCCCCCGTAAATACGCCACTGTATGGTGTTATGGTAGGTAAGCAACACGTGTATGTGTGGCAATAGGTTTTTACTATTACTAACCAGTAACCCGTCTGAGAACTAGGTAGTTGGTGTTACTTAAGCAAGGTCCATACGATGATAGTTACTCTCGCAATAATAGTCATAGTTGGGAAACACATAGTCATGTGTTCGTAGCATGATTGAGCTGTTTTAAGTATGTAGTTTTTAAAATGAGTTTTGGATCACTCGCACGCAGTGCCGCATTTAGACATTTTGCGCCCCGGTGAGGTACATTTCCCTGGCACCCCCACTTCCGAATTTTGGATTCAAACCAAGGGCTTTCGTTTGTGCTACGTTTGTGCTGGATTGTGCTCGAATTTCATCGTTTGTGCTGCAACCCTTAAGGAGTTATAAGCGATAACGATTGGGGGTGCCAGCGAAACGACTGCACCCCCACCTCAGAATTTCGGATTCAAACCAAGGGCTATTGTTTGTGCTACGTTTGTGCTGGTTTGTGCTCGAGTTTCATCGTTTGTGCTGCAAACACTAATGAGCTAGAACGGATCTTTAGTGGGGGTGCCAGCGAAATGGCTGCA